CTTCCAATTAGAGGACGACCCGCTCTGCCTCTGAGCCACAGCCGCCCAATCAGGTGTGTACTCCCATGGCACAGCTAGTCTTTTGTCATTCTGAGTAAATGTTTCACAGTCTTTACATCTGAGTGTGATAATCTGACTAACCATCTGCTGTCTGCTGCTCTCCACTGACAGACACACCTTTCCCTCCTGCTCACACAGCGTATTTGATTTTTTTAATGCATATTTTATTTATTATTATTTTATGTCTACTTCTCTGATTTCATTCCTGTATATTTGTTTTTAATTGCTGTGTGTAAAGCAACTTTGTAACATTGTTTTTTTTCTTATTATCATTCTTATTATAAAGACAAACTCTAGTTGCAAGTCATTTTTGATTCAGTCAAGTCAAATAAAGTCAACACATTCATGACCCAAGTCTGACTCGAGTGTCAGTCATGTGACTGGAGCCTATACCTCTGCTACAAGTGTAAAGAACAAAGCATGAGTGATACAACACAACAGAAGTTTCCTTCAGAGGTGTTGGTAGGTGTATGTGTGAACTTTGGAAAGACACAGCTTCTGTTTCCCTCTGCTTTCAGTATTTATGCTAAGCTAGGCTAACCATGTCCTGACTCCAGCTCTGTACTTAAAGATCCTCTTCAGACATGTCATTATTATGACAAATATCAAAATAATCAGTTATGAACAATAAATGTGTGTCTTTCTGCAAAAAATAATTTCCACATTAAAATCCATAAAAAGTCACCTACCCCTTCTATCTCATTAAAACTTCCAGAATCTCTGAATATATAAATGTTGTTCATTTCTAAAGTTTTCCTGCTGGACACAAGATGTCTCCTATTTCACTGTAAAGTCCATCTGCAAGTGTGATGTAGAAACTTGAAGCCAACAGTGCACATCCACTGAGAACAGGACCAGGGTTGACTTCCAGACTATTTGTCTTACTAGGTGTGTTTTTAAAGCTGCAGTAGGTAATATTTGAAAAAATATATTTTTGTCATATTCACTGAAACTTTGACTATATCCTGACAGTAGTACATGAGATGGATAATATGTGAAAAAATCAGGTTCCTCTGGCTCCTCCTAGTGTTCCTAATGGAATTTGCAAGAATCTACAGGACTTGAACGAAAACAACCAATCAGAACCAAGAAAGACAGTTGATTGCGAGTCTCATTCCCACCTTGTCAAATACAGACGCTTTGGGAGTCTGGGAATGAGACTCAACAAGAAGCCTCCAACGCAAAGTGGCTTAATATCTTTCTTGGCTAGGAACCTGATGTTCAGACAGATTATCTGTCTCATGTACTACTGTCAAAACACAGTGAAAATTTCTACAAATATGACAAAAACTAAAAAATGTTACCTACTGTGGCTTTAAGTCTTGCTGGAAGCTTCTTTTACATATTGCAGGTCACAATTCATCAAATTTTTATTCCATCACTGAGTTGTTATTAGCACTAACATTAGTATCTGCATTAGTACAGTATCTCCTGCTCTGAATGTTGTTGTTGCTGTACTATTGTTGGCGGGGGAATCAATTTAGTGTAGGTGAATGTGTGACTGTGTGATTAGAAGCAGCAGCTTTGTGCTACGTGTGCATTTATTGCTGAGAAAAGGCCCGTTCGATATGATGACTCAAAATTCATCATGCTGGATGGCAGACAATATTCTCTGCTGCCTATTTATAATATATTACTCATGCGGTGCTATTCAGTGCTTTCAGCGCGGCCAGCACAATAGCGGAAATGGAATTCAAGTGGCTGGAATGTGCTGCAGAGGCAAAGCAATATAGACAGACAGAGAAATAGAATTTACTGGTGGAATGGAGGAGACTGCAGATATTACTCAGAGTGATTTTCATATATATGTATTTCACATGCATAATTCAGCCCTTCTTTTGTGTGGGTATGTAGGTGGGTTTACTTGGAAATTTATATTCCATTTAGCATCCCCCAACCCAACCAGATTTCCTAAAACAAACACCTGACACAGAACAGACCTCCTGGGTGCCTGTGGCATATAGTTTTTATGAAGTGGGCTGATATAAAACACAGATAATTTATTCAGAAGGAGAATATTAGTGACTAATGGGAATACAGACTACTGACTACTATCTTTACTTGGCATATATATATATAATGACCTTTCTACACAGGTTCATCCTCTTAGAGAAAGTGTGAAGAGCAAGGCCTTCTATACTAGCACCATGTACTGATTTGGCCAAAATGTAGAACTTAGCGTGCATACAAAGCAAAATTTCTGGTATGCCAAAAATACCAGCATGTCGTACTGATTTAGAAAAAAAATCTCCAGTATGCACTGGACCAGTCTGCCTCACCTACTGTGTCCCACAATGATCACGATAAATGGTCAGGCCAAAAACTCACTAAATTCACTTCTGAGAATTTTTACAGTGAAAAATCAGCTGTTGGACATTGACGCAACAGCATTTTCGGATCTGAGAAGCTCCACAAGCGCTATTATTCTGCCATTATATTTACAAGTTTCATTTTGGCAAGTTGAGGTGGGAACACACATTATCATCTCGGCCAGGCTTTTGGTCGTGTGTATCTGTCTGCAGCTAATCTCGCATACTACTGGACCAATCAGCCTCATATTTTTGGGCACATTTGTGACTGTGTTCTCAAGGACCTCTCATGGTTGGGATGACTCAAAATGTTATTAAAATATTTTATTGAATGCTCTGTCTCTTCAATCCTCTTAACCAGCTAGTAGGGACCACAAGTTTAAAATCGTATTTCCGCTCAGGACAACATACATGTTGGTCACGTTAGTGTTGGTGGATTATTTGGTTGGTATTTTCACTATGAAACTGACATTTTACGTCACTGGTGTTTTGGAGTTGTTTCTTTCCAGATTTCCAAACCAAGGTTAGACACACAGCCTGCCCTGCACTCGTGTTCCCCACCCACATTACCCCAGTCACACCTGGCACAGATCTGCACTCTACTGAATGCACTCTTGTAGTTGTATCATTATATTTGTCTGCCCAAGTATGTTCCAGTCTGGGTCAGCTGTTGTTGACAGTCGGCAGATAAAATCGAATTAATTTAGAATCCTTCACCACTGCACGCTGTTTATTTCTCCTTTCCCTGTGGATTGTAGTATAAATGAGCAGTTTTGATTGATTTCTGTTTCTGTTTGGGTACAGGAACACATGAAAATCCCTGTGTTCTCACAAAGTTCTGGCATTTTCCTAGCGATGGGACTGTAATCATAGCCTACCTGTGATTACACTGTGTTGTCTCCGTGTTTACCCTGTTGTTTACTATGTTCTCCTTCCTGACTGCGAAAACTAACAATCTGTGTTTTTCTAAATAGTCAGTGGGCATTGTTGTCCAGTCTTTGGAGGTTTAAACTAGGGGAAAAAAGTGGAAAATTAAGGAAAATATATTTTTCTACTAAGAACATTGTTGCTGTACATGTTTCTAATAACTTAAAGCTTCCCTCCAGTCAGGAATCAGTGTTTGTTCTTGTTCCTACAGTGTGATGTTTGAATGATGTCTGTGCAAAGTTTGACTGTAGAAGGATGTTTTCACATTCATCTGCTGAAGTGGAAAGTTTCTCTGTGCCTCACTGAAAATTCTGCTTTTAAGGGACGGGGCCACCAGCAATGATTTGTGACATCACACAAACAGTTTGGGAGGTCAGTCCTTGTCCCAGCTATGCAACTTGTACAGTGTCGATGTAAGAAACTTGAGCCACCAGTGCACATCCCACTGAGAATGGACTTTACAGTGAAGGAGGAGACATCTTTAGAAATGAACAACATTTGCATATTCAGAGAGCCTAGAAATTTTAATGAGGTATAAAGGAGGATATGACTTTTTAAGGATTTGATGTGGGAAATTCTACTTTTTTTTGTTGCAAGAAAACTATAATATAGATATCATTGTTCCAAGCAGATTATTGTCTTGATACATGTCTGCAGGGGATCTTTAACTAAAATAATGTTTCAGCTGCTTTTTAGGTCTAGGTTTTTACTTTAAATGATCAGCCTGAATGTTTTGTACACTGCTTTTTGATAATAAAATGAGGAGAGATAAAATATTTATTAAAGATTTGTTTGCCTTTGAACTTCCAGATATTGTTTCTAACCTGTAGCCTCAGCTAAAGCACACATTAGCAACATGTTCACCAAGCAGTTTGGTTTAGTTTATTACACATTAGAAGGGTTATTTTTGCTTTTTCCACTGTCAAAGGTGGTGGTTGGTGCCAATAGAATCACTATTATATTGTCAATTAAATGTGTAGTGGAGGTTACACTGAGTCAGTTAAATGCTGCAGCTTCTCAAGACCAAGAAAAGTCTTTCTGTTCTTTCCCAACTGCTGGAAAAGTGATAGTGAAGTCCTAGTAATAACCTTGTCTACATTTAAGAGTGGAAACTCAAAACAGATCTAGGGTTTAAGAAAGTGTTTGGTGTAAATGCGGCTATTATACAACTACATATGTCAGAACACACTTTTTCCCATCACCATCACAAAAACTTTAGTTTGACTGTCTCCTCAACCATGAGCTATGGTAACCTGTTCAAACAGGATCACAATAGAGAGTAGTAAGCCAACAAATTTGAGCAGAGATCCCAAAGACAGTGAAGAGGTATGTCAGTGTGCAGACAGCAGAGCACAAACACTGCTCAGGCTTTTGTTTATTTGGCTTGAGAACAGGGCTTTAAATCCTTTGTGACTGAAATGTGTTGCGCTGCCAGTTGCCTTCTCCCTGCACCCTCTTCAATTGCAGGCTGGTACAAAACACCAGGCAGGTGTTCATGTTCTTGGCAGGTGGCCAGACACAGCATTTGTTGAGTGAAGTGCTGGTATTGATCAAAAACCCTGTTAACCTTACGGTCATTCCATGCTGTGGTGCAGGAAAAATCCTACTTACTCAGAAGACCTGGAAGAACAGGCCTGATTTAAGCCTAATTAACCAATTTAGTGTTCATGTGGACTTGAACACTGACTCATATTATGGACCCACCTTGCCCTCTCCACACTTTGTGCCGGTCATGACAAGGCCGGGGTCGGGCAGGTCGCCCTGGCCATCCTGGGTGCTGTAGACGTAGGTGCCACGGCACTTCACCTCGATGCCGCCCGTCTTGATGGTGGTGTCGATGGACACGGCATTGGTGCCTTTGGGCTTCTTGGCAGCGCTGTGGCACTGAATCTTACCACATTTGGCGTCACTGTGCAGGGATACAAGCACATGCAAGGAAACATTTAGCCTCAACTTTTTAAAGGCAAGTCAAGTCTTTGCAGTCAAACTGCTCCACACAGTCAGACTGAACCTGGGTAGCTAATGAGTGGCTCCAGTGGAGCAGCAGGGATAGACTATTATCTGTCTATCTCCATTATCTGTTAATTTTATTTATCAGGCAAAGTCTGACTTCTGTCAGTGAATCTTCTATATTTGTGTTAATCGAAAAAAGCCACACAAACCATAATACATCATTCAAGTCTGCAAATATTTTATGTTTTTCTAATTAATGTGCAGAGTCAAACCAACCATGAATGCATCCAAAGCCTGTTCCTCCATGCCTCAGAGGTCCATTGTTGTCCAAAAACTATTAATAACAAATCAATGAGCCACAGTACAGATGTTAGCTGCAAACTATGACCGTTATCATATTGGGTACAACTGCCGCCCCTCTCCCGTCCGTTAACACTCAGCTTTCACATTAGTAATGTTGTTCCGTACCTGAGTACACTTGCTTATCTTATCTTAAGTGTGGTTGTGTTTTTGCTACTGAGTGGAAAAGCTGTTATTCATACTTTGTCAAGAATGACCCTCTAGTCTGCCCTGAGGGGAAACTAAAGCTGTTATATCCATCTATGTTCTCTCCAAAACCACCAGACTGAACCAGATATAAACGCTTCAGTTCCCTGTAGGAAAGGGCTGTCTGACACCGAGGTAAAGCCGTGAAAATATTCTAAATATAGCGTACATATTGATTTTTTTGGTTGGCCTTGTTTTTTATGTGGCTAAAATTATGTTTTGTTGCAGCCCCTGTCCACAGCAGTACATTTCTTAGCTTCCATGTCAGTACTTCCTGTCTGCTTCTCCAAACTGGTGGTGTATAACTGCAGGTAATACACAGACTATCCTAGGACCTCATACCACCCCACTGCAAAAACTTGAACTATCCCTTTAGGAGTTTCTGAGCTACTACAGCACTGTTTCTCAAACTTATAGTGCGTACAACCTCAGAAAATATTAGGCTCTCCAAGTACCACCATTATGACTAACGCTAAAATACAGCTGCGAAGGCCGAACCTGTTCAGCTACAGACAGTGTCTGACATAAGATTGCAGTGTTTTGGAACCATTCCATTTGACCTATGCTTACTATCTTACCATCGCATTTTAGCTCCTAACTGATTATGAATGTACGTGCGTGCTACGTGCATGAACGTAACTATGTAACAGGCGGATATTGATACAAAATATTACAGGTAATGCAAAAACGATTTTAAATTACGCTTTTCATTTGTTTTGTAGTATTTTTATAGTATTATATATATGTTTTTAAATTATTTTATTTTATTTAAAAAAAATATTTCAGAGAATTTACTACCAGTGGTAGACAAACCATAGTAACGCATGTAAAACAAAAAACTGTGAAAAACACATTACTTTTTTCCTAATTTTCTTTAATCACTACTATACATAACCATATATTATTGAAATATCTGAATATCTATATTGTAGTGATGTTGTAAACCTGGATACTGGAGGTGCCTCAACAACACTTTTGAGGGAGAAGAGAGTCTTTCATTTTTTGTCAACAGCCACATCTTCCTGATTCATATGGAAATACACACACACACACACACACGGCCTATCACGAGGAAAACAAACGAAGAGGATTACAGAATGATGGACAGATAGCTGTTTGAAGATTATTCACATGTCTTAATAACAGGCAGATAGTGCATTTACATCTAATCAGCTCTCTGACTCACAGTGGCCAGAAAACACTCTAATGACTCCTGTGGGACTGCATAATGGATTTGGGAAGTGGTGGATCATATGAGGCAGCCGTCAACCACCTTAATCCACAGCCTCATTTACATAGCTATGTCCCTAATTTGGCTCCATTAATTAGCTCTGGCACTGTGCCGGGGAAACTGTCTCTCAGAGGCCTGTGTTGACAGTGTAAAGAGGGCCTTACTATGTGTGAGAGTGTGTGTGTTAGGGTGAATGATTACATGCAGAGATTTGAAAAGAACCAAATGTTCCTGTGATAACTTCATGATAATTGAAGTGATCTGTGATAGTAAGAAACCAGGACTATTGTTATCGTTTCATAAAAGCTGCAGCAGAACAAGCTCAGAACACAAAGTCTGACAAAATATGGCCTTATAAAGTTGTCAGAGCTAACATGTTAGCAAACAGCCTATTTACACTGAACAACATGGTCAATCTAGTAAGAAAAATATGAACCAAAAGAGTGAAGTGAAGTGAGTGTGGATTCTACATCAACCAGAGTGATTGACAGACTGACCACAGCAGTGTAGCAAGAACAGCGAGCTATCAGACTCAAAGAAACACAGTCCACTGGAGCTTTCACAGGCACTAGAACCCCATTCACGGCTGTTTGTGAAAGTTTCTGTGTGGTACCTGTGTTGCAACTGAGCTAGCTTGCAACTAAGCTAGCGGTTCAGAGAGGCCAACTCTCCAGTATGTATGCGTGTCTTTGTAAGTGTATGGGACCAAATCCGGTGGTGCTTCTACAGTCTGAACTATTACACCAAAATAGAAAAATATTAAGTAAAAGGTTAGCAAAAACTAGCATAAACTCCTGTGAACGATGTGTCTTGATCAACATAAATTTGAAAATGAGTGCAATGGTTTCATATAGTCTTTTCCAACAACAGGGAACTGGCTCTGTTCTGGTTCAAGCACCTTGTTTTGAACCGTTCGAAGCATTTCAACTAAAAATAAATTGGTTTGTAACCTGAAAAGTTGGTTCCCAGCAGGAACCAAAAAATAGCAGGTTTTCCTTAGGAACTAAAGTAGGCTTGTTATATTCTATATGTTGTTGTCCATTGTACATCGCCCTCTGTTGATAATGCATCTGATTACTATGGTTCCACTCAAAACTGGTGGAAATGCGGGCTGGTTTGCTAGATAGTACCAAGATTTCAAGAATCTTGAATGAAATCAGTCATAATTTGGTGGAAAGGGGGCCACAGACTCCCACTCAAAGCAAAGGGTGGAGGAGGAACAATATTTGTTTTCCCAGTAGTCCTATTGTCTATTGTGTAAGCTTAGGGATTATTTTACTTTGGTTCAAATTTTATTTTGATGAGAAAAAGGCAGAAGTGAAAGGAGAAAAAAAATATTTTGTGATTATGTTTGGTAAATCTAGTCCATGTGTATATATTTTGTCACATACCAATAGAAGCCCATTTATGCCAAGGAAAAAGAAAATGGTAGAATGCTAATGTGTTTTATTTCATGTATAGTATTTTCTTTTCCTGGCATAAATGGACTTCCATACATACCTGTATGACCAGACTCTATCTATACATCTGTCACATTTAGTGAGAAATCTCCACATTGTCTAGTTTTAGAGATCTTTGATGAGAAAATACAAATTTGAAGACATTTATGTATGACAAAAACAACAAAAAAAATGTATACAAATCTTACCTTTTCTCACACTTCATGTAGTTGCCATGTTCATCTTTCCCACAGTTCCCGAAAGCGTTCCCTGCTGCGTTGACATCTTCAAAGCAGGCATCATGGGCCGGTCGGGCTCCTGGAAACACATGTCCCATCAGCCCTCTGTACTAACCCCAGTAACCCTAACCCTGTTTACTTGTATTTACTGTGGCTAACAATATCAGCAATGCTCTCCTCCACAGAAAACAAATGTTAATGTGCTGACTCACAAAGCTCTTGGCAACAGAGAGACACAGCTAATGCTGATCTCACCCACCTGCTTGTCTGTTACAGATCACAGTGCCCACTGTACACACTGTACAAACTCTCCCTCAGATACAGTAAGAGACGCTGAGACCTGTGGCAAATATGAGATTCAGAGAACAGCCAGACGTTTTGGGAAATATGCTTGTTTGGTGTCAAAGCAAGAGTCAGATGAAAAGATCAATATCAATTTCATCCACTGCACGTAGAATCAAGAGCCGGATCGCTTTTGCTCACGGTGAAGTTCCAACGGAGCTAAAACATGGCAACCTCCCTATAAGAACAGGACTTTTCATAAGCTGTGTTCTGTCATCGCACCCAGCTGCTTGTCAGGAACAGCTCAAACTCTAGCTTCTTCTGCAACCACAAAGTCACTTTTCATGATTTCTGTTTCTACAAGAGTTCATTAAGCAACATAAATGTGCAAATAAGACAGATTTGTGGATGGTGGAAGATGGAAGTGTTTGACTTTTGATGACGCTAAGCTAGCAATATCTGCCTACAGTCTTTGTGCTAAGATAGGCTAAACACATACTGTACACTCAGTTACCAGTTTGTTAACTACAATCCTCCCTTCATAAAAGTAGGGCATATTTATTTTAATGAGGGTAGATTAAAAGTCCACTAACATTGAGGAGGATCTATCAGCAGAAATGGAATAGTATATTCATATGTAAGTTTTCATTACTCTATAATCACCTGAATATACAAATGTGTCTCTGGCTCTGGATAGGGCTTTTCACATTTTTCTCCTACAGACCTCACAGCCCATTCCTATTCCCAGGTCGTCAAATACAGACATGAGTGGTGTTACTTGCAGTGTTCAACTTCACCACTAGATGCCACTAAATCCCACACACTGGTCCTTTAAATAGACTAGACTAAATAATGCCTCTCTGTATAACGCAGTCAGCAGCACAAACTACATAATGAAAACATACCTATGAATATTATATTCCATTTCTGACAATAGATACTCCTCAGTGTTACACACTGGACATTTAATTTAATTCTGTAAAATTACAACTTCATCCTCATAATGCTATGACTTTTCTCTCAATATTACAACTTTGCCATTATAAAAATTCTATTTTCAAACTCTCAGCTTTCTCACAGTTGTAATAAAACTGTCAAAGAAAAGTATTGCTTTTAGTCTTTGTAAATAAAAATAAAAGAGATAATGCAGAACAATAAAATAAGATGACGCACATTAAAATTCAAAGTGTTGCACGAGGGAAAAAGAACAAATACGTCTTGCTCTGATGAGTGTTTATTTTGACAGACTGGTCCCAGCTCATCTTTTTCATTACATTCATACACATACACTACAGTATAATTACTGTCAAATCTGTTGGCAGTTACACTGTCGTTTTAAGCAGTGTTAACCATTACATATACTGTTTTTAAAAAAAAAAGCACTGACTGAACCTCCACTGCTTAAAATTCACAATAATGTGGAGTGTTTAAGGTTATATACATGAGATTTAAAACATGAATATAGCAGCAACTGTTAGCTATGTAAAATAAAGTGAAGTCCTGTATGCACTTGAGTCTAAGCGACTGAAACTGCCATTTTTCTCTTTTAATTCTGCAAATTAAGAATTTATTTCAACCACTGTTGGAAAGACTAACAAAGACTTTTTTTGGTGAGTTGTATTATGTTTCTG